CACTGGGGCTCGGACGGCGGCAGCTGAGGGTGGATAACCGCGGCTGAACGGCTTGCAACGGTCGAACCACTGTCGCAACTGCTGTCCACTGGGGCTCGGACGGCGGCAGCTGAGGGTGGATAACCGCGGCTCAAACGGTCGAACCACTGTGGGAGAGGGTGGATAACTTATAAAATGATAATTAGAATTTATTTTAAAAACCTTACATTTATACTATTTGTATAACAATCCTTCAAATATAAAAATATATCATCACAACCTCATCAACATATTTAATTTACGAATTAGATTGTTGTTCTTGTTCCAATTTGTTCTTCAATTTCTTAGCGAATTCCCCAAAGCGCAGAATATCATAACTTTGGTGTGATTCCCCTGCTTTCAACCTTGCGTGCTCCGATATCCGCCACCGCGAACCCTCGTTCTTCCAGCGGCTTCTAGCCGATGGCGGCGGTCGGTCTACACCGTGCGACGATGGCGGCTTGGATTGATGGAGGTCAAGTCCTAGATATGCGGCACCCTGACAACAGAGAGTAGCCTAGCACGAAGTGGAGATTGTTGGCGGCCGCTTTGCTTCGGCTAGGGTTTGGTGGTTTTTCCTTTTAACAGGTTTTATTGAATCACTTCAGCAAAAAACTCTTTTGATTTGTGTGTTTGCTTTAAGTATTTTCCAGGGTAAAACTATGGAGGAGTTTACAGGCACTTTGACACTTTGACAGGCGAAAATGAGAGTCGCAGTGTACTCCATCGTCCACCAGCAAAAATGGCCAGTGAATTTTCTCAACCATTAATATTCGTTAATATCGTACTGAGTTTGATTTCAGTATGTATTTGTATCGAGCGTGTTGTGCTAGCATTTTTGTTGATTCTTTACGTATGGCTAAAATTGCAATAGCTAATCTTGTGTGTTGATTCCTTTTGAAGTTTAGAGATTTGCTTATGCTTTATGCTTCATATGGTTGTGCAAACGTGTCTTTGGAGTTTTTGGACATTTATTGTGTTTGTGTGGATCAATTNTGGTAAATGTTGATTAAAAAATTAATCTTTTGAGGAACTTCGTACCCCTTATTCCTGGTAGTCTGTTTATCAACAATAAAATAAATTTTCGCAAGTCGGACAAGTATGCTTTGGTAAATGATGATGAGTTTTCAAATGATTGTGGATCAGATTATGATGGAAAGTCTTCAGTTAATCGAAAATGCAAGAAGCGTAAAAGACATAAGAATAAAAGAAAAAATAAAGTCTGATCATGCTGGAAACTATGAAGATGAGTTGTGTGATTTTGATTTATCAAATAACAGGCTAGATCGCAATCCAAGGGGGGTGATTGGTTGCTCTTACTGATGGATATTCTACTACATGGAGTAGTGTAAGTTCAAATGTGTCTTGAGTATAGCAACATTTTTTACTTTCAATATTTACATTATCTGAATCTTAATGTGAGATTTAAGAGGCTGATGCAATGTTACTGTTGTTAATTTTCCTTTGTCGGTTTAAGATATATTTATTATTATGGTTGTTATGTGAAGTTGCTAATGGGACATCTCTTTTTATATTCTTTTTTGTTCTTATAGTTATGTCCATTCTATTCAAGTGTAGCATTTTTGTTCTATTCAACTTTGAAATGCCATAGATTGTAAAGACTTAGCAATTTTTTGTTTTTATGAAACAAAGGGTAAAAACGTATGTAAGTTTGCACTTTTATTGCATGAATCAATCTTAATTAATGGTGCAGTTGGAGGAGTGTATTTTGCCAAGTTGCTTAATCAGTTCTTGGCCGGAAACTGGAGAAGCTTTGCAGGAAACTGGAGAAGCTTTGCAGGCCAGAACTATTTCGACTCTAACGGGTTATTTCTCTCTGTACTATGGTCTGGGCCGCTATTGGTGATTGTACTATGGAAAAGGGCTGAGCTCAGGCATCGTGCAAGAACAGCTCATAGTAAAGAGGAGTGAGCAGGGTATGTGCCTTCTGCACGAGGGGATTTTTCATGATGAGAGTCTATTTTTGGATGAATTATATTTTGGCCTTGTGCTTCTATTTCTTTAGTTATGTTATTTGTGTTTTATCATATGAAGAAAAAGGAGTGAGGAGAACTAAGGTTACATTAGGCAGTAAATTACTCCATCTGACAAGATGATTCCTACAATTATTCTTGGTGTTGTACTGTTCTTCTCATAATGGTTTGATTGATTCCAAATCTGGCCTGGTTAATATATATAGATTATAAAGAGTATTTTTTGCCATAAACATTTCACTGAGTAGGCAGAAAATTTCATAGCGAAGGTGTTTGTATTTGCATCAACCACAAAAGAAGCAGTAGACCGTTGTGCGAATTCTCATTTTTTTCTTTCTTCGTTGAGTTTTCAAAAATTGAAACTTTTAGTTACAGCCGGAGACTGATTTCACCGCAACTTTAGATAAGCAAAATTTGTGAGCGCATTATAGTATGTGAACATCCTGAAGGTACTAGCATTCAGGAACACTACATGATGTAAATACAATGGGAAAAACACGATCAACAATTTCGAGTTCAGCATCAAGGCATGAACATCGACAAACATCGCCATCAAAAGATTCCAATTTTTTAAGAGAACTTTCATCAATTTACACAATTTGAGCATCAATCATAAATCCGAAAATACCATTACTCTTAGCTGTCACGGCTTGTTATTAGTCCTAGAGAATCGTGATTGAACCAGAGAATGCCTTTTCTCCAAATTCTAGTAAAGAGGAGACTTGAATGAATTACATTCCTGTATACTAATAATACAAATGGAGAACAATATCCTCATAAACTGCCCTGAGTCTCGCCATTTGTAGTGAGGTCTTCGAGTTCATCGATAATTGCATCATAGCAGAACAAGTACTGCTCCTGCAAGATACAATGTGCAGATACAGTCAAATGTTAAACGATTTTCAAAACGTACCTTAAGTAGTGAATGCAGACAAAATATAATATTGACAGAGATTTAAATTAAATCACCAAGAATTTATAATATAGCAGCCCTATATAAAAAAGAAAGAATAAGTAGTTTAAGAATTATGAAATATCAAGAATACAGTACGATAGTTTGCACCATTCCAATACGCTGTGACCTAAAAGTGGTTATGGTATTAACAAGGTCCAAAGCAGTCATGTCACCCATAAGAACCCTCTGGATTTTATTGTGGATAACGCAATATGTTCCAGTCCTACCAATACCAGCGCTGTGAAAGAAAAAAAGGTTAGACTATAAATATTACTTTCTATGATTACTTTAACTCACAATCAAAAGGCAAACCTGCAGTGAACAACAATAGGCCCGAGATTGGGCGGGACATTAGATATTGTAATGCCCCATTTATTTGTGATTTATTATTATTATTATTATTATTATTATTATTATTATTATTATTATTATTAGTATTGTGATAATATTAATTATTGCTTGCCAAATTGAATGTCTAAGTATTATATGTCTAATTGTCTAATTGTCTAAATGATTTATTTGTTATTATTTTATAAATGTGTAAAATATGTATTAATATATACAGATAAATATATTTGTTGTTCGATTTATCGTGCGTTTGATTTTATACCGAGCCCGAGAATATTCGCGCGGATCGAGTCATTTTATTTTGGCAAAATAAATCGGAGAACCCGAGCCCGAGAGCCGAATATATATATTAACGTGCGATTTTATCGAGCCCGAAAATACCCGCGTGAACCGAACTTGAGCCCGTGAGCCGTTTTCATTGTCGCGAACCAGCCCGATCGACCGACCCGCGAGCCAAAAACCGGCCCAAAGCTCATGAAAACCGACCCAATGGCCCAAACTTGTTTCTCTCTTTGTGAGTGTGAGTATATTTTTTTTCTTAAGAGGCAAGATAATCAAAAACCTAGTTCTAATTGTGCGCAACTTTCCTTTCCTCTCCCTCACGCCCGCTGTTTGTCAATCTCTCTCTCTCTCTCTCTCTGCACTTCGCCGTCCATCATCTTTGTGATCCTTCGTCATCATCCTCCTCGTGAATCCATCACCACCCTTGTTCTCTTTCCTTCATCCCTTCATCATCGTCCGGTCATCATCACTGTCGTCTCCCGTCGCCGCCATCACCTCTGTGTTTAGAAAATCGCCGCGCCGCGACTAAAGCCTCCTCCACGCCGCGTCGCACTACCACGCCGCGACCAGAGTCCCGCCGCGCCGCGACCCTCTTCCCGCCGCGCCGTGAAGCTGTCTTCTCCGATCGCTGTTTGTGGTTTTTCCGGCGAGCTCGATAATTCTCCGAGCAGCGACGTCCGGTGACCATCCCGACGAGCTCGTGAACCAGCAGCAGCGACCTCTCTCCTCCCCGTGTGACGAGCCCTTTTTTCCGGCGAGACGAGTTTACCGTCGAGCCGTTCGTGTTCGTGACGTTTTCGAGTTATTCCCGAGAACGGTACCTCGTCGTTTTTCCGTCTCGTTTTATTCGTATATGTTTTATTTCGTTGAATGTTTTAGTATAGTGCTCGTTGATTATTGATGTGAATATATTGATGTGAATTTGTGCGACTATACATTGTGATGATTTCTTTTTGTGTTCGTATGTTCGGGATCTCTTCGATTTTCTCAAAAACCGAACGAGACCTCAAAAGTCGTGTAAGTCAGTGGATAATGGAACAATGTCGAGTCCTTGGTCTTATGAAAAGGCCTCGGACGAGAAATTTTATGTTGTGATTTAATTGCCAAGTTGTCGAGTTTGTAAATTGCTGTTTCGGTGTTCGAATTTTTTAAAATAGCTCGCTGCTCAAAACGATGTGAAATTTTGAGGGATGTGTTATCTGCTCATTGCCTGCCTTGTGTAAAAATTTCGTAATTTTTGAAGGCCTGTAGCTATTTTTAATAATTAAATTGTAATCTGTCCAGAATAATGTTAAATGCATAAAACTTTCATGCATGACTGAAATGAACTGAAGTTCGAATATGTCATGCCTCTTTGACTTATATATGTTGTGTTAAAGTTTTAGAATTTTTTGAGTTGATATTTGATGTGGTAAATGTTTAATTTATCGAATCTGCAGAAACGCTGTTTGAATTTTTATAAATTGGTTACTGCATGAAAAATTCTGAAATTTTACTGAGAGGCCTATTCTATGTGTTTGATAATGCTTGTAAATGATGAGAATTTTTGGAGTCCGTTTTAATTCAGTTTGGATTTAAATTCGATAAACTGCTGTTGCTTTTATGAATTTTTAAAAATAGCAGCAATTATCATTTAAGGCTGAGATTTATATACATGAACTTTAGCATACTGTATGTTGCTGTATAAAATTTTCAAGTTCAGATTCATTCATTAAGTCTGAGTATGAATTAATGTGCCCATTTTGCTGATATCTTGTTCGAATTTTATAAAATAGGGTATTTCGAGTTTAAAGCTGAAACTTTGTGGTTTTACATGTTTCTGGGAGATGAAATTTTGTGTAAATTTTCAGAGCTTAACTTGTAGGATAGCTTGACCATCTATTTTCATGCGATTAAATGATTTCTATTTCCGAACATGATTTTTATATGAAATTTTGGGAATCAACTTGCTTTTCGTTTTTTATGTGAGTTGACTTGGTCAATCCTTAGATGGATTTGTGTAAACTCCCTTATGTTGTTTGGTCGAGTTTA